CCCATTCAATTCTCTATCCAACGATGCCTTTCGCTTCATAAAAGTGAAAAACGACTGAATAAAGTTACTGTTTCAATTAGTCGTTCCATCTAATCCGCGTATAAAGTGAGCGATCTCTCGGGCGTGAAGAAAGAAGATTATTCTGCTATAAAAAATGTGTCTAATTATTCATAACATCGACTTGTAGCAAACAGGACGTTAATTACAGTTTTTAACTAGCCGAAGGTGATAAACCTTTAATTGGTAACGAACGGCTTGTAACCTGGATTGGTTTGATGATTACTAACGGTGGTTTGAGGAAAGCTGGAAAGTCGATAATTAGTAGGAAAGTTCAATTATACGTTCAGCTAAGGGGTCATACCAATTTGTTAACCATCCAATGCAGTTTAATGGCATGTTTTTAGCAAAAATGCCTTGGAATGGGCGACTTTCGGGCTATAGTCCTGACGTTTCGCTAGCAGCACGATTAACATCTTCAGAAGACGCACAGTGAGAGTTTGCGTAGCAGAAACTTTCATTCGAATGAATGAAATAAATCTGATTTTTCATTCAGTAACGCAGGTGGCCTCGGTTCTCTCACTCACACACATGGGAATCTATTAGAGGGGTAAGATGCCCAGTGTGTGCTACGTTCGAAATTGACACATCCGCAGCTAAACATTTCGGGGTTTCGAGCGACGTAAAATTCGAAAAAATTGTAGAAATTGCTGCGGAATTTCCCATTTTCGACTTTGGACTGCCGATAGGACCACATCGGAAACACACCCCTGGAAATGATTGACGTGCGTGCTACCGAAACGTCGGTAAATAACTCTCTTATCCTCGATTTTTCGAAAGGCGCTGAAAAGACGCCTCTGTATCCCAGTATGAACGGTCGATAATAAATCAATAAGAAGCCGAAACTTAATTGAGATTTGTCCTGATCGGCCTGTGAACCGGTAAAACTAATCCATTGAAAGCCAGTAGTCAATTGTCGACTGACAACCTGGTAGCATATGGAATTTTTAATCGTCCAAAGAGTTTGTTCGTACAGAAGATTCAAACAATGGTATCGTATAGTTGACGACTCTTGTGAATGTCTGTCTGTATTGGCATTTAGTTAAACAACTGAGTCCCCAAAGGAAAAGACAGTGATGTTGATGGCTTTGGTCATCAACCCTAAGATTCAACTGCAATTTCCAAGCGCGTCATCAATGTTGAAAAGGTTAATGTCTTCAGGTCAAGGCGTTCGCTGTGCCTGGGGGAAGAAATAAATTGAAAATCATCTGCTTCCCAACGCTCGTGTTGTTCTTCGCTTTACATAACAGATGACATTGCATTTGCTGTGTTTTCTTGTTCTGGGCCCTGAGAACTCGCTTTATAGTCCGTTTGCAGTTGGAACCAATTTTTTCATTCTATCGACAAGGATGTTTATTCACGTTGACGCGAGGCCCCTTATTTGTCTAAATGATTGCAAATCGATCTAGTTCTTCTAGATTTTTTGCGTTTCTAAGACATTTCCAGACTTTCATCAGCATCTAGCGCCGTTCAACGTGAGTACGCCGGCACGTTCACCCGATTTAACCCCTCTGGATTTTATTGAGGATTTTTGAAGAGCATTCGCCACGTTTCTGAAAGCTTCTGTTCAACTCCCAATGGGAGGTTGATTTGTGAGTTCTTATCTCAGGGGCGGATCCAGTTTTAAAGTCAGAAGGGGTTATGTAGAAAAAATATAGTCTTCTGTTGTCTATGAAATTAGAAAAATGATCGTCGTTTTGTGCAAGGGTAGGCGCAAGATTATTGCAAAATTTCATGTTTCTCGGAAGCAAAATGAGCAAGAAGGCTCGTTTTTACATCATTCCAGAGATAACTAAATGGCCTTTATTCGCAGTTTCTCAAGAACCATTCGTGCCAGAGAATTCGTTTTGGTACCGTTGGATGGAGAATTGAATGGAGGGGAGGTCATGACCCCCATGACCCCCCTCCCTGGATCCGCCCTTGTCTTATCTCCCGCAATATATTAACATATGACCTCTTATAATGGTCTAGAGAATGGGTACAATCAATGGCCGCGTTGTCCAAATGTCACTTTTATTAAAGTGCAGTCGTGACGGAAAGAAACACAATTAAAGGAACTGATCTAGATCATGGCCGACCGCACTTTTAAAACCAGTAGTAAAATGAAGTCACAACTTTGCGGCTTTCGGTTCACACATTTCATATCCACACTCGCAATTCGGCTGCATGAAACCGAATTTATTTATTAAGACTCGGTTTTAAGTGTCAAGGCATTCGAAAGTCGACCGCTCAATTAATAATTGCAAATTGGGTTTTACTCGCGCTGTAAAGCGCAAAACGGTAAAATGTAATCAAACTCATCTGCGAAGTTGAGATTACACTCTGAAGATGTAAGCCAGTCGCGCTTGCGAAACGTCAGGGGGCAAACTCTTCAGTTCCAAGTCATGGCCACGAAAGCCTCACTCTTTCGGGAAGGTTTTATGTTGGCTCGAGCATAAAGCAACTGCAACTCAAAGTTATGAAACAGACATGACTTTGTTATGTAAATGGGTTCGTTTCAATTTAGAGCCCGTCCCTAGAGAATTGAACATTTTTATGAAGCACAAGAACAAGGTTGGTGGGCGACGGGACGCCCTCGTCACTTTCCAACATGAAGAAGACCATATGGTGGTAAAGGAAATGCAATAATTCGCCATCTAAATCGACACTAAGTTGGTGGCAATAATTAGCCGATCAGTTTAGGTCCAGTTGGTTTGGGCGCAGCCACTTCATCATCGCATTGGTCGGGTATACGGTTTCCCAACCAATCACACCCCAATTAAGAAAAATCCGGAAAACAATCATTTAATCCCGTACGAGGCGGCCTTTCATCGCCCGATAACATCTAAATTACATTTTAAAATCCGCGGGCTTGCCGTAAATAATCCGGCTTTTAATTAGCTCATAAATTGCAATTTTTCGCGAGAAGACAAATGTGGGACTTGATTTATGGGCCCGATGCGACGATTAAGAATAAAAGTGGTAATTTCATCTTGTGGGTAGGGGCGTAACCGCATGCATCCCATACCAAACTCATCGAGGGTTCGCTTCGCCGAACTTTTTTGCAGTTTCTTTTGCATAAGCTCTGTTGAATTTATATGGAAATTTTACAACGCCAATGTTTGCTCTTCTGCCAATAAAGCAGCAATCGTTTCACATTCGATCCTTCTTATGGTACTCGAAGAATCAACACTGGCAAAAGGTTGTTTATTTGCAGATTTAAACGAAAATCCAAGTGTGGCACCATTTCAGGTCTTTCTAAACTGTTTGGATTCTAAATGGGAGGAATTGACGTTATTAGAGCGTCGGATTTGGTCCCGACGTTTCACCAGCACGCGTGGCAATCATTTCCAGATGTGTGTTTCCTTCTTATGCAAAGTTCCTATCGACGACGCACTCAAAAAACCAAAAAATCGTCAAATTGTCAACAATTTCTATGAATCTTTAGCTTCGACTTTTGTTCAATATTACAGAAAATATTTGAAAACGACCTCGCTCTAAACATTTTTTTCCAAATGTGCCTCCTGAAAATTCAGAAATTTTAAGCCGCCAAGGTATCACTTTGGAACGTAGCAGCCACCGGCCGGCTTACCTCTCCTATAGATGCCTGTGCGTGCGAGAGAGAAATCCGATGCCAACTGCGTTATTGACTGGCAAAATCCGATTTATGTTATACACTCGAATCAAAGTATTTGCTGTGCGAACTTTCACTATGCGCCTTCTGAAGATGATAATCAAGCCTGCTGGCGAAACGTCGAGACCAAAAAGTATTTTAGCGATAAACTGGCTTAATTAAATCTCATGAATTGTTTGGCAACTCGAACATTGCAACGGTKCGACTGTGATTTTTTCACTCAAAAACGGCSRGTYGCACAAAAAAGACTTTTGYTCAATATTRTAAAAAGTATTTGGAAACGACCTCGCTCTAAACATTTTTTTTTCAAAAWGTRCCTCYCTRAAAATCCMGAARTTTTAAGCCGCGAAGGTRTCAGTTTGGAACGTRGCAGCCACCGGCYSGMTTACCTCTCCTATAGAKGCCTGTGTGTGCGAGAGAGAAATCCGATGCCAACTGCGTTATTGACTGGAAAAATCTGATTTATGTTATCCACTCGAATCAAAGTATTTGCTGTGATGTATATTATATATAGTATTGTGTTCGACTGTGAATTTTTCACTCAAAAACGGCGGGTTGCACAAAAAAATGTCAAGAGACCTTTTGTGTTCCTAATTGATGACACAATCCGAAACTGATTTAACGTTTGAGAAAAATCAAGAGATTTTGCCTTTTTTTAGTTAAAATGCTCCCATGTTTTGGGCATTTGGCAACCCGAATGACTGTGATTTTTTACTCGAAAACGAGGCGTAATAAAAAAAAAATCAAGACACCTTTTCTGTTTCTAATTGATTACGAAATGGGAAACGTGAGTTTAGTTTACAAAAAAACAGCCTCTTATTACTGTTTTTTAAATTGAAAGTGTCCCGTTTGTATTGTAAGGGTTGTAAGTCCCCGTTCCAGGCGAGAGGAGGAGATTCCTCTTCAAGAAGAGCCTTCAGGAAGCAGCAGGAGTTTGAAGAAGAATTGAAACTTTACTAAAAGAAAACATTGATTGGGAGGACCCTCGGAGCACCGAAGGAACCCGAAATCGGATGATTCAGTCCTTCAAGTGGTTCGCGTAGATACTGCAGGATATCCTTCCCACCGTTCCTTACGTCACGACATTGTCTCCTGCTGCAATTCGTAGTGCAACAACGTAGCCAGCGGCCGCCGGCAGTACTTTTCGATTCAGTCAGTACTGCCGCGACTCGAACCCGTTTCGAAAGGAACCCGCACCAGTTGTACTGTTGGCGGTTTTGCGGTCTTAGGAAGTGTCGCTCGCGATTCGCCCAGTACTCGCTCACAGGTCAGTACTGTCAAACCCGATTTGCCTCATTCGGCCGTTTTTGGGTTGTTCCAACTGTTCTGGTGTGAAATTCAATTGACCGGCAGCTCGTTAGCAGGATGACACGGATCTACGCGCAATCTAATCAAGTCGTACCGGTACCGTGGCGCGTTAAAAGGGTCAAGTTGGCACCGTAAACTACAATCACTCACTATACGGTTGCGGAGCGAGGCAACTGATTTTTCACCGAATGCCTGATGATGGAGCAAGGGAAACGTGTTTTTACCTGTCACCCAGTCGGAAAATTGCTTTCTTTGAATGTTGTATTAACGAATGTTTAGTCATTTTCGAATGCAAGATGCTAACGATCAACGCCCATATAGGGTTTCACTCAAATTGCTGGTTTTAGAGTGTTTTTTCGGTTGTTTCAGGTAGTAGATTCGAGGGCGCGAACAGGCGCCGATGGTTCCCTGCAAGCTCAAGCCAGCAGGCAATTGGAGGTGTTCCAAAGCAGGGCGGCAGGCGCCCACCTCCAAGTAGTTAAAACGAAGACGGTGAGCAGCAGCCGATGGTCCGGAAAGGGCACGGAGTCGTCCATCAAGGGATTCGAAAATTTACAGGTGAGGTGCAGTAAAGCTTTTCATGAATTTGGGACAGTCTGTATCTGTAATTTCTTCAAGTCAAAAGCTTTTATGGGGTGTTTCGACTGAAAGGAAAAGCCTGATCTAGACCAAATCCGATGCGAAGGACCAAAATGCGATTAACTTCCATTGAAAGGAGGCAGATAGACACTGACTCACATGTAGAAATGTTTTTCGGGCTTTGAAGCCGTGGTCCAAGGGAATTTCTTCCTGACGTTTCGTCCACAACTGCGGTGGACATTATCAAAGGCCTCATCGCTTTTGAGCGCGATGCAGTTGCAGTTGTGGACGAAACGTCAGGAAGAAATTTTCATGGACCGCGGCTTCAAGAAAACATTTCTAAATGTGCCTTGACCGGCCGTGAAAGCCTTCACAGTCTGAGACACTGACTACTTTCGAAAAAGTGCCTAAAAGTGTTGATAGCGTTTACTTTTAATGGGAAAAATTGCGAGGTCAAAGTCATCACCTAATAATCGCCTAGATCTATGAACAAAATCCGGTGCGAAGGACCAAATTTTTGAAAATTGCTTCGCAAGAAAGGTGGTTGTTCGCTAAAAAGAAGAGTACAATAGAATGAGTAACATTAACCCGCAATGACACACACAATTCTGGTTTCGATCTTCGTGTCTTCCGACTTATTCTGCTGTAGCTGAAAGTAGCGACGCGATTGGTCGGCGAGCTGAAAAGTGGATATCGGGCGATCGATTCCGTGTCGAAATGCATTATTCATCGCTATTAAAAAAGGAGTCCAATAAGGGGTCAATAATATCTATGGCTTTGCCAAACAATAACTGAGTTTATTAGAGTGTGACTGAGACTTTTTCTGGCTGCTATTTTAATTTCGAGTCGAATTACTTTGGCCTGCACGCTCACGGACCAATTCCCCCGATCGCCGCTTTATTATAGAAAATCGGCTCATTTACCTGCTAATGATATTTATTCGCCAACAACTACCTGATGTGTGGGGAAATATTTATTAAATCGACTCGCTCTCTGGTTTGAACACAAGAGTGGTAGGCAGTGGCGGGTAAAGTTCGAAATCAATAAAAAAGTACTTCACTTTCAGCTGCCGCTCAACCCTTTGGACCTCACGTCGGAAAAATCCAAGGCCTCAGTGGGGCGTAGCGCGAACCGCCGCCCCCCCTCCAGACCTCAGCGGAACCCCGCCAATGACCTCCACAGCCAGCTGAGAAGCGCCCACTTCACAGCCGCCACCAATTTGCATCGAGTGTCCAGACTGTGCCACCATATCCACGAATCGGCAGTGCGGAACGCGTTCGGGCGAAAATCGCCATCAACATCGCCACGCGGCAGTGCGGACGGGAGTGTGAGTGGCGTGGAAATAACAGAAATCGAAAGCAGTGTTACGAATTCGAGCAGTGATCTGAACGCGCATTCGAACCTCGCCCGAACTAAAAGCAACAGCAGTGAGGATGTTCATCAGGTGCCCGAGGCGGAGTCGAGTGTGAAGAGCGTGGAGGATCTGGAGGATCTGGAGCAGCTGCAGAGCTGGAGGAGGAACTCGAAGGTGCGGCGCAGCCTGCAGATTCCCGCGGCGCAAAAGGCGCCCACAGCCCAGCTGCCCGAGAATGCCACAGTGAACGTGAAGAAACTGAGGGACGAGCTGGAGAAGGGGCGGCGCTTGACCACCGCTCTAAGGAACAACTCCATATCGACAGACCTGAACGCGCTGGACAACATCATCCAGTCAATATCCAGCGCCAGCTCGCTGGAGCGAAGCTCCACCGACGACAATCTGGATGAGGAGTGGCTGGCGAAGCACAAGCAGAAGCGAGAGTCGTTTGTGACTGTGGAGTCCCTTCAGGCAGTCAAGGGCAGGCTGCGCCACACCAGCTCCCCCTACACCAAGCTGGAGGACAGCGACGATGGCATAGTGAGCGAGGACCTGAACGACAATCAAACCACCGTAAAGTCCTACATTTACGGCATGGAGAAGGCGCTCCACAGCAACAAATCCGTGATCGGAACCGGCAGCTTGGAGTCGCGCTCCAAACTCACCAACGGCACCGGCAGCCACAAAAGCGAAGACTGGTACAACCGGAGAAAATCGTACGGCTTCGAGAAGGTCCATGGCTCAGAAGAGGCGTCCTCCATGCTGAAAGGCAAGAACCTGGTGGAGTCCAGCACGGACAGCGGCATTTGCAGATCGAGCGAAATAATGGTAGTCCCCACCGCCATCAATTCAGGCAGCGAAACCGAGCCGGAAGCGTGCCAAGCCAATGGGGCGAGCTACGGAAAAGTCAGAAAGATGACGAGCATCTTCAACCAAGAGGACAGGGGCGCTGAGCTGGGGAAGGCCTGGAGGCAAACCAGCTGGAAGAGCAACGAAATCAAGTCCACAACCATCACCATACCCATAGTGAAGAACAACAACGTGGTGGACTTGTCGTGGAACGACCAGCCGGAGAAGGAGGGGAGTAGAGCAGTGGCGGAGCCACTGCAACTCCCCGAGGACGAGAACGCAACCAACGGAAGACGCGGGAAGAAAGTGGAGTTCTGCAAAACCGAGGTGCACTTTGCCGCCGAAAGCGGCAAAGTCAACATCGTGGAAACAGACGAGAAACCTCCGCCCACCCAAAACTTCCGGAGGAGGCGCAGAAACTCCGGCCCCACCAGTGACTACCCGGAGGACTTCAACAAGAACGGCCTTCCAGTGCTTCACTTCGGCGACACCTCCTACGAGAAAACCATGTTCGGCCTCCCCGATGAGCCGGAAAAGACACCTTCAGCGTTTAGCGTGGTCACGGTGAACACCAGCAGCGACTACCATACGGAGTACACGGACGAAGAGAGAAAAGACTTGATGGCCGACAACGATAATCTGAAGGGGATCTTGAAGAACAAGCCGGTGAAGCCCAGGCCGTACCATCTGGGCCAGCTGGAAGACCCAGAGGGCTGGGGAGTGAAGTTGCGGCACGTTCCACAGGAACCAAATGCGCCCATCTGGAGATCGACAGTCACTGTCCACAGCACCGTACACGAGCCGACGCCAGACCTGCCAGAGTTCCAGAAATTGCTCAGAAACCTGCGTCCGACAACGAAGAAAACCGACTATTTATCCGACAACGAAAATCGGTACTCGGACAGTTTTGCCCACGTCCGAATGCTGCCGGCCGCTAAAGACAATCGCCGCTCCTCCTGGTCAGTGGCGGACCGCGTGCCCCTCGTCGACGATATCCAGGAAAGCCGGGGGTACTCGACTAAGGTGAACTTCGGCGATGGGCAAGCCACTGTTGTGCAGAGCGACCAATCCACGTGGCCACGAATGGAGAACCTATCGAAGGGTGAGTAGGCTTCGATTAGGGGACTGATGGAGGAGGCGCTAACTAACCCAGCTTTGTAGAACTTGCTTCGGAAATCACTTTTTCTCAAGCTTTCTATAGTTTTCTTGCTATTTTATCGCCAAAAACATCGCCTATTTTATCACCAAATCAGATGGAGTTGCTTTAGCAACTCCCTGGGAAGGAAGGTTTTCTCGAATTCAAAATTCAAATTTTATTTTCACGGATTATCAGTATATGTTCGTGTTCAGTGGGCGTCTATTTGAAGCGAATCAACCTTTTCACCCAGACCCTTTTCCTTCTGATGTAACAGTTTGTGGGCAATTGGTTAAATCGAGGCCCAACCACAATCAATGGGCGACTAATCGGGGCATCCTTCTGGCCAATAGAAAATAGTGATTTTACGTTTCTAAGGTGTTGCTCTTTCGTAAGGAGCATGGAAAGTCCTAAGATTGGCGGAAGCATTAATGAAAGCAAATGTCCAAAGCACACACTAAAGCTCGTGTCCCATGCATCCGTTTATACGATGGTACGAAAGTGTTTCTATTGGTTGGAGATCTGTCAATTCGTCCGCCGTCTTACGAACGGAGGACGAATTGACAGATCTCCAACCAATAGAAACACTTTCGTACCATCGTATCAGCTGTCAATTTGTCCGTCGTCGTACGAATTGACAGATCTCCAACCAATAGAAACACTTTCGAACAATCGTATCATCTGTCAATTCGTCCGTCGTCGTACGAATTGACAGATCTCCAACCAACAGAAATACTTTCGTACCATTGTATCATCTGTCAATTCGTCCGTCGTCGTACGAATTGACAGATCTCCAACCAATAGAAACACTTTCGTACAAACGGATGAATGGAACAAGGGCTTTAAGACCTAAAAAAAATGTGGGGACCTTTTTTCGGGCGCTAAGGTAGAGTTCAGTAGCAAACAACTTGAAAATTGACCAAGTGTTCCGTCTCTGTCTCTACTGAGGCAGAAGCAAACATTTTAGAGGCTGTCGAAGGATCAAACTGTCCATATCTCGGAACAGTTGGAAATGTCCAATGACTCATTAAGACCTTTTCGTTAGCCCTTCTCAAGACCTCCCTTTGCCTATTGAAGTTTATTAAAAAACCTTAACCTCTAAAGAAATAGGAGCAAGAAACTTTCAGGTGCCTTGGAAGGTCATTAGGACAGTTTCGTTAGCCTTCTGGAGATCCACCTTTGACTATTTACATGCATCAGAAACTCCTCAACTCTAAAACCATATTATCAGCGAAAAGCACCGTAACCTCACAAAAGGAAACAATTATTTTGCTCAATATCGGTCAAGGTGATTTTTCTGTCTGCTGTAACGTGATTTTTTACTCGGTTTTCTATTACCCGATTACTATCTAATTATTTCAATTGCATGTCTGCTATTAAGTAAATAATAGAGGAAGGTGTGTAATACTTAGGTAGTTCTTAACAATGGCTGGGGCTTCGGGTTTCGGGTTGGTTTGGGAGCGGGGCAATTTGTGAAGTAGACTACTAGAGAGTAGCAGATGATATGAAATAATCACAATCATATGAAGTGTTCTGGAAACCTAGATTTCGCGCAAAACCAATCCAATACTGCGCTCTGGACAAAGTTGATTCGATAAATCCGGTTCAACTTGGCCGAAGTAAACCCAGTAATCGATGCGGCGTTTAAATGGTCGTACAATGACCGCGTTTACTCCATCACATTCACGTTACAGTTGGTACCCGGTAGTGTCTCTTGTTTTAATTATCGCATTACCAGATTAGATCGCCAAGGTCTAGGCAATTATGGTCGCCTAAGTTTTAAACAGTTACGCTCAACGCCGGTACCCAAAGTGGTACTACATTCACTGTTACACTTACATGTTTAAGAGGCAAATTCTTGCTTAGCTCTTTGTAACAGATAATTCCAGCACGAGTTTAGAGTATAGATTTAAACTGAAGATTCGTTTATAGCAGAAAACCATGAGTAATCGGGTGCTTTATTGCTCTGATTCCACCGCACCCGCTTTGCAGCAACCCTGCAACTCTTCGAGCTGTTTATGTACGACCATGAAACAGATTTTTCGGGAAAACAGGCTTATAGATGAGGAAATAGTGCGTCACGGGCACTGCATTATGAGTTTAAGTGGGAGAGTGGGGCGGTTATAACTATTTCTGCGCCAGAAGTTTTAAAATTAGTATCTAAAAAAGTGGGTTGGATATCTGCCAGCTGCTTCCACCAATATGTAAAAAAGGTCTCCTTTAATGTGCTCTGGTAGTTTGTTGCATTGCATTGGTTACTGCCCGCAACATGATTTTTTTGCCTTCGACGAGTTTCCAGGCGTTTGGCCATGCCTGCACCTCCACCTTTCACAGGCGATTTCTTCCAAAGTAGGCCCAACCTCGACAAACGGTTTTCACCATTCAATTAAGAAGGTTTTCATTAATATATCAGAAAAGCCGCGTTGCGCTCGGATCATCACTGCTTCCGATATGAATTTTTGAAATTTGAGGAATTTTCTGTCTTGCTGGCATTTTTGATGCTTACTTTTTGAGCGGACTTTCCTTCATAAGCAGGCCAGATATCTTCCAGCCGATCCTCAGAATCCATAAAGGACGTTTTCTTTGACATATTCGAGTAATGTGGTTATTTTGCCTTGCTAACTCTCTTTAATATGATTTTTTTATCTTCGACAATTCGGCTATTTATGCATCTCAACTTTTCAAAGTCAATTTCTTCACAATCAGGCTCCACACAGACAAACGGTTTTCACCAGTCCATTAAGAACGTTTTCCTTAAAACACAGGGGAAATTTCATTGCACTCGCTTTGTCAGTGCTTCCGATATGATTTTTTGAACTTTGACGAATTTAGTGACTTTTTGCCATTTTGACAGCTTACCCTTTGGGAGTGTTTTTCTTCACAACCACGCTACATTTCGACCAGCCGATTTCAGGGATCTCTTAAGAAGGCCTTCTTGAACACATTCTAGGAATGTGGTTACACTCCCTTGGTTACTGCCTTCAAAATGGCTTTTTGATCTTCGACAAATTTTCAGTTGTTTAGTCGTTTCTGCACCTCACTCTTTGAAAGTCGATTTCTCCACAATCAGGCTCAACATCCACAAACGGATTTTACCAGTCAATTAACAAGGGTTTTCTTAATACACGTGGGAAATTTCGTTCCACTCAGTTGGTTGCTGCTTCCGATATGATTTTTTGAACTTTGACCAATTTTCAGTCGTTCGGCCATTTCTGCTCTTCAATCTTTCACAGTTGATTTCTTTGCAACCTGGCTTGATATCCACCAGCGAATACCAGCCATCCATTAAGAAAGTTCTCCTGAGTTCCATCGGAAAATCCCCATCCAGTCACTTGGTTGCTGCCATCAGCATGCGATTTTAAAATTTAGAAAAACTAGAAATTTCGGGATGATTTTTCATTGTTTCGGTGGAAGGGAGCATTTTCCAGCAGAAACAAGGAATTTGAGTGGGTAAAATGAAAGAATGGCGTGGTTAAATTCTGCCAATCTGGAGCCCATCAAACCAGTCAACTTGGAAAAATAAAATACGCACTAAATGTTCACTGGATGAACACGTGAAAATAGCCTTGTATAAAGCATCCGTAGTGTACCTTTCTTCTCTTTGTGCATGACATGTTCTTGATCTCTTCAGTAGAGTAGCATTAACCATAGGGCAAACTACCCAAGCCCAGTAGACGCATTAGCTGCTTGTTGCCGTAAAGCTGATAAGAACCGAATCGGAAATCTTCCAGACTCCAAGCAGATCCTGAACAGGGGATTGGTGGTGCGAATAGGCCGAGAAGACTCGATCTCGAAGCACACGGTGTGCTCGAAAATGACGACGACCAGACAGTTGAATAACAACACGACCACCACCACCAAGATCACCATCGATCTGTCGCCTTCGCCGCCCACCTCCGACAAAACATTCACTTTCACCAAATTCAAACGATCTCACCACTTGCAGCATAGTTTTAAGTCCACGCCCCTGGTGCTCAACACGCTCAAGGACCGCAAAGCGGAGCCCAATAAGATCCCGCAGCAGTTGGAGGTACTACATGGATAGTTTTTGGGCATCGACATTCAATCGAACCAGTTTAGTCGACTGAATGTCGATGGCCGAACGCGCCTAACGTTGCTTCTCACAATGATACCGTTCTTCTGCAAGGCTTTGAGGAAACTGTACGAGGACGTGGCCAGCGACGATGGGGACAGCGACGCGGACAAAGAGGTGCAACGGTTGCTGAGCCGCGTAAGCGACAAAGAACTGACTAGTTTAGAGAGCGACGCCAGTAGCGTGGTGTCGGGTAGCTGGAGCAGGATGAGGGCGTTCAAGAACCTGGCAGAAGCGGGCCGCAGTAGCTTTAAAGAAGCCAAGTCGAAATTTGATCTCACTAATGCTAAAGATATCAAAGGTACACTATAGTCGCGTAACCGCGTACAAATCAAGTCTAGAATAAGGGACTTTCGCATCTGGGTGAACATTCTTACCTGTGAAAAAATGAACGGTGAACTTGGAGTATCAGGAAGAAGCTCGTGACTTGTTTCGTGAAAAGTCGGGCTTGAAACACCTCTAGGCCTGGGTGACACTGTGTTGAGTTGAGCCGCACTTTGAGTTAATGAGTTAGAACCGATACCGGGATTTTAACGTTTAACACAAAATCCATCAACATTTTGCTCTTGCACACGATTGCTAGAAACTGTTTGGTCTAAAACGGGGAAATCCGGAATTTTTTAGGAAACTGAAAACATTTTCAGAGCGATGAGGATGACGAGTTTTCTAAATACTTTGTTAGGGTTAAATTTAAGGAAGAATACAATCGATGCAAAATTCAATAATTTAAATGAACGCCTCGCACCGTCGCCATCAAATCACTAATAATCCATCTCCCCTGGCAACGCCACGGATGTTGTGTGTTGTTGCCCGGAAGTACCGTCGCGCCGTCTGCTGTCACAGCGATGAAGTAGCTATGTTGCCACTCCCGGTCTGGGCGTGTCCCGCCAGGAGCGGCTAATTGTAGCCCCCTTGGAATACATTGTTGCCAGATTTCAGGAGAGAGGGAAAATTAGAAAGATATTACTGTATACTTACCGAGTTATTTAAGATATCGATAGAATAAATTATTTCCGATTTAAAATGTCTACCAAAAATCAGTTTAAGATTTCTAATGATGAAAGAATTTTAAAAAAATAATTAAAATAATATACATTATAGTTTGAATAAATTTCACTTAAATAAAAACATGGTAATAATATGCGCAACGATATTATAAACAAACAAAATTGAATTTAATTAACAATTTTTGCACAACACGTCAACTAAAAGCTCTTCTCTCAATTGATCGGGTTGTCATTCGGGTGTCAAACAATTCTTAAGAAACGAGCCTTAGAAGAGCATGATGCACAAGCAAAAAATTGCTCAAAAAAGTCCCAAGCACCCGCACCAAGCGCTTTGCGCGGCACTGCGCCAACTCTTAAAAAATTCCTGAGTTACCCAGACCAAAAAACCCCAGTTCAAGGCGCAAGCTTCCTCCTGACGAATTATTTCCTTTTAATTACCCATTGCACAAAATTGCCTGGAGAAGTTCTGCAGAACGACCGTCCTAATTCCGCCCAAAAACCTTCCAGATAACACCAACCCAACTCGTCCAATGGAACCACCCGCTAAGGCCGGCCCCACCTATAACAAGTACAGCATCCCGACCAATCACAGCAAGTACTCGCCAGTAGTTTTAAGAAAATCGACGCTGTTTGCCACGACTGAACCGAAAGAACTGATCCCTTCTGAGAACCGGACCGAAGATTGCTCAATTAACAATAGTCGCAGCAGCGAGTTTAGGAACGTAGCGAACCACAAGGTGCCCGATCAGATGGTGCTCAGACAGCCCAAACAGTCCGAGATGACCTACTTTGGTGTGGGTGTGAGCGCAGCCAGAGACGCTGTGAAGAAGCCGGATCTGCTTCAGAACCATCAGAAGCCTAGAAGGCCTACGCCTGAGCAGGAGAAGAAGCCGCCCCCTATTTACGAGAACTTGAAAGGGGCGGGCAAGCCTTTGAAGTACCCCAAGCCCTCCAGCGGCAAGGAGTTTGATGTGAGCATTCTGGATGAGCTCACCAAGGCGGCTGATCAGATTCTGCAGGTAAGAGTGCGGATCAACCTTACAGTAATATTTTTTTGCAATATTTAATATAGGTTGACGCCACAGATTTTTATATATTTAAGAAATATTTCTTTTATATATATTTGACATTTAAATCAGATATTTAAGCAATATATTTTTTAAATATTTGTTTGAAATTTATTGTATATACTTTCCTGACTGTGTTTCAATTCAAAATCAAATCTATTCCTGGCTTTCAGTCATTTATTGTCTCTATTTATTAATCAAAATACGTTTCGGTGTATTTTTCCACCATCATCAGTTTTTATGTGTAGCGTTGTTGCTGCTTTAA